GGGCGGGGGGGCAGGAGGGGGGAGGAGGGAGGAGGCAGGGTATGGAAGAGTTGGGAGGAGGAAGGCGGTGGAGAGGGAGGGAGGAGGGATGCGATGGAGATGGAAGCGGGAAGGAGGAGGCAGGGTATGGCGGAGTATGGACAGGGGAGGAGGTGAGAAACGATCGAGAGACAGGGAGGAAGGCGGCGATGGAGATGAAAGGAGGAGGAAGGAGTCGAACGAGTGAATAGAGTAAGTGCGCTAAGTGACTAGTTGCGGGCTACAAAGCGCACCCAAGAAAAAGAAGTACACTGTAGATGCCAACGCCGAAGAACAAGAAGGAGAAACATGAGGCGATGGACAGGGGAGGAGGAGAGAAACGATCGAGAGACAGGGAGGAAGGCGGCGATGGAGATGAAAGGAGGAGGGAGGAGGTGAATGAGTGAAGAGAGTAAGTGCGCTAAGTGACTAGTTGCGGGCTACAAAGCGCACCCAAGAAAAAGAAGTTTACACTGTAGATGCCAACGCCGAAGAACAAGAAGGATAAACAAGGAAGTTGAAGGAACAACAAGATGAAACAAAGAAAAAGGCTCACCTTCGCGTCGTTCGTGCGTGGCACGATGGTCTCGAATGGTGGAGGTAACAATGGCGTAGCAGAGGTGACGATGGCATGCGGAGGAGGTTACAGAGGTGAAGATGCTGGCTGCAGCATGATGACGACTGCCACATGCGATCTTGCAGGGCGGGCAGGGCACAACTGGCAGGGCGGACGACGGGCTTGAGCAGGGTGGCCAGGTTTCAAATTTGAAACCTGGAGCTGCCCTGCACCGTCGATCTGGGACGATCAACAACCCAGGTTGCAATAACAAAAAAGAGTGAAACGTGGCCTCACCGGCCCTGAAAAAAAAAAGAGCGACTGCCAAATTTTCGTTTGGCCTCCGGGCCAACCAACAGCGGCGCAATTTTTTTTTTTTTTGAGGCCCGTTTGGCCTTGGCGCTGGGGAGGTCCGGGAGGGCGACCGGGGGGGTCGCCCGGCCGAGCGCCCCGAGTGTCATTCCGGGCGCCGTGGATTGGAAAGCTAGCTTATCCGTAATTTTAATAATAACTACCTCTTCCAGCTTCGCTCGCAGAAACAAATATGATGGGTGATGCATTCATGGTGTAGGCAACTGACCAATGCAATCTCTCTCTCTCTCTCTCTCTCTCTCTCTCTCTCTCTCTCTCTCTCT